GGCAAAACTAAGATTTTAATCTGGGTCTCCTAGTGCTTCTACTATTCCTACTGGGACTCATTGGATTGCAACCTAGTATGTATTTTCATCTAAAAAATCTATTGCTTACTTAAGGAAGTTTAAATGCGCAAAAGCCCCAAAATTGATTTGTTTGTTTTTTAACTAAATCAGCAAGTGCATTTTTCAGGAGTTGATGTATGCCCATTCATATTGAGAAAGGCCTTGATAATTAGCATTTATCTTTAGCTAAGCAGAGCTGAAGGATGACACTGACATGAATTTTAAAGTCCCCATTCCTCAGGAAGTAAGAGTGTGGCTCTTCCTGCCATTCTCAGTTTGGCTGGAACATCAAGAGGGCCAGTCAGGATGCCCTATAAACCAAGAGAATTTGGGCTGTGTGTCAAGCACCCATCTCCCTGCTGGCACAGGTGCCTCCTCGATCCCACATAGGCTGAAACAATGGAGAAATTCCCTCTTGAAATAACAGACACCTTAAGCACTCCTGATTAAAAAAATAAAATAGACATGGGCAAACACATGCCCTATAAAATATTCTGAAGGGTTTTAACCATCACTTTGTTGTTTGGTGACCATGAATTTGGAATAGCTAAGGTGATAGATGCCACCAACTCACCCCAGCTGAGTTCTGAACCAAGCCATCAGTATGACACAGTGACAAGGCCCTCTGGCTCTCTCTTGCCTTGCTGGTCTGTCATTGCATATCTATAATGCAGCAGGAACTTTGGCATCCCAAAAATCCTCCTCTCCTGGGCAACAAACTGATTGACTATCTAAATAATTTATGGTTTTTTGTTTTTTTTTCATTCATTCTCAACTCCATAACTGGCAATAGCATCTACTAGGTTCTCTATTTCTGCAGCTTATGATTTTTTTGAAGAAGACAAAGGGATTTAGGAACTTAAACCTCCTTGCAGCAGCAGATGGGCAGATTTTTACCAAAATCAGCCAGGCTAGAAAAGGCACATTAAGCCCTTGCTCTGACACAGCACTTATTCTGTCACAGTCTGGATGACACATCTGGGTGCTCACACAAGATGAGAAGGTGTGTGGCAATCTGTAGCAGGATGAAAATAGAGATGAGTGGGGACAGATCCCTTGATTTATTTTGAAAACACCACCCATGGTCAGTTAAACTTGTTTCCTAGGCAGCCTGGTCATGCATGGAGCAGCCCACTGTTTTACACTGCTCTGCAGCCTGGAAGGATGTGCCAGCAATAGCACCTGGGAGCAGTGGCACAAGCAGAAGGCAGCAGTCTCATACACAGGACATGTCCTAGCAAGGCAGCTCTTCTCCCTCTCCTGAGAGGGCACAACTGGTGAGAAGTACCTAAGGTGAGCTGTCCATGCTGCATTGCCAGACCAGTGTCCTTCAGAGAGGCCTGACAGAATTTCACACTGTGTCCAGTGCTGCGAGATGTCCTTACTGGTGGTCTCAGCCTCCTGTTTGATGTATAAAATCTTCCAGCCTAACTCCTGAACATCACCTCAGATAGAGGACAACACATCCCCCAGTCTCAAAGCTCATTCCACTCTGTGACAGCTGCAGAAGTTACTATGGAGAAAAACAGTTCAGTATGAGAGAGTACTGCAGTAAATCTCTCTACAGTCTATCATTAGAAACATGGAGGAATGCAAGAGGCCAAGCTGCTTTCTTGGGTCTCAGTGGCCTCCCACAGCCCACCACTGCTGCAGCCCCTGTGCCTCCAAACTGCTCACTGATCTGCTGCTGGATAGCTCTAGGAGCCTCCAGCCAGTGGGTACAGCTGACTTACATAGATATATTTCAGTTATGTATAAAAAGCCAAATTCATTACACATTAAAGCATGGCAGTTTTAACCTAACACTTTTAGGCTTTTCCCTACTTCTCCTGGCAAGACCAACCACTGTATTTTCTCATACATGTGAGGAAGCTTTCCCAAATAGTATCACTGGGAGAAAAATCCCTGTGTACATCATTCTCTGTAGGATGCCCAAATCACCAAGCTTGCAGCGAGTGATGCAGTAGCTGGGGAGTAGCTGAGAGGATTGAGCCTGTGCCTGCTCAGTGGGAGGCATGAGGATCTCCTCAAGGCGTCAGCAGATGGCTGGGTGCTGAAGGTATCTCCCTGGTGACACCCACGGGAAACAGCTGGCAGAAACCTAGGGTGACGTTGCCTCACAAGTTGTCCAAGATATTTTCACCACTTCTGGGCATCTACAAGGCCTTCACTGTGCTCAGATCATGGCACAGGGCACTTGGGAGGCCACTGCTCCTCTACAACAACAGCTGAAGTTCAGGCACCTCAAATGGCACTAGTCCTCCACATTTACACACTTGAATAATTCCTCTGCAAAACAAACTAAAAACAACTGGAAGAGCAGGTAACACTTATAGCTCTCCTGTCTGCACTGTTAAAATTAGACTTTAGGGTTCAATATGTAATATCATTATCTGATAACAATTAACAGAAAAATACCAACATAAAGGGCAGTGACACATCCTCCCTGCACTGTTTACAAATGTCATGGTCATATGAGATAGTAGTCAAACAAATCAGCAGACAAGAAATAAACCACATAGGGTATGTTGATAAATATTTATTTCAAAACAGTGTAGCTTTTTACATGACTAATGTGATTTAATGCAATTTCAGACTGAGAAAAAAACAACCAAAGCTGATTTTTGCTAACTGTGTTTGGAGGAGTGACACAGGTAATGAACTACCATCAACTCTGGCATTTTATTCTCCTGATAGAAAATGTGAGTAGGTAGACCAGTCAACACCACTATTGCTTTTAATACACCAGTGAGGACTAGTGCAGGATGCAATTAGGCCACAGGTATCACCTTGGAAGAGAAGCAGCCATTTGCATGCAAAAGGGTTTATCCTTCACAACTGTGTGGGCTGGTTTCATGCACCAGCCAAAGCAGCCTGTATCACAGAGAGGTTAGAAAATGTCTGCCTGGACCTTTAAGACAATTTTATTCCCAGTTAGATCACCATCAAACCCTTTTCACAATAGCATCTGCCACTGAACCACTGCTAATTAGTCAGTCCCTGTTCAGCGAGGGAGGAAGACGTGACAGCAAAGATGAAATTATTTTTAAAAACGGCCCAAAAAGTCCCGATAAGGATTGCAGCACTTTATGACCAACACCATGCGTGTCACAGGGCAGGGAGAGGGAATTTGCCTATCACTACATGTTGCAATCACGGCGGAAATATCTCTCTCTTCTTGCTTCCTCTCCACCCTTGTTCACAGAGTTAAGGTGAGATGGGAAAGCAGCTGCAGCTTCTAGGACATCCCATATGGGGAGCCAGGTCAGCACTGGTAATGCTCCTTCACTGTGGTCTATAAGCCCCAGTTGCTTTAATGTCTTCTCTGTTAAGTATCACTTTTCTCTAACTGTTGTGAGCAGCATGAAGAAAATTCATGGAAGATCTTGAACAGTTTGGGTGTGGTGCGGGAGGGGCCACACAACAGGCAATGCAGTCAGGGGATATACTGAAGCAAATAGTTTTGTTGTGCTGGGGGAGAGAGAGAATTGGGAGAAGCATCTTGGCTGAGGGAGAGGGATTCATAATTCATAGCTCAGTGAAAGTCTGTGGAATGATTATTCTAACACTTGGAAGTTTTCATTCTGCACACCATAATCTCCAAGTGAAAAAGCAGGGTTCTTCCAAGGATAAGTCTACTAGGCTGAAAGGTAAACTCCTGAGTCCCAGGAGTGTGAATCTTCATTTAGCTCTTTGTTCTCACAGATATGGACAGATAGAGCCTGAGCACCTAAGCACAACAGCAGCTTTATTGGAATTCCTTGTCCATCATTCTCCCAAGAATATGGAGACAGAGAGGGGATTGCACAATTGAGTGTTTCTGCAGTTCCTTGGTGAGGACAGAAACATGCCCACAAGGCTTGGAGAAAGATCTTTGAAAGGAGAAAGTGGTGTGTTTCAAATGAGACACCCACCTTCTCTAGAGTGATGTACTGGCAATACCTGAAAGTAATGGGCTGCTCTGATGGTTCCTTGAAGACAGGAAAGCCTATCAGGGGGATAGCAGATTCTGCATCTCCTCTCTTCTACCTCTTTCCAAATAAAGCAGGACTTACAGCACTAGAGGGGACTGCTGCCTGTAGCAGTAATCCCCACACTATGGTAGCATCATCCATGTCAGCATCCACAGAGCATGATGCAGGCTACATGCCCACTAGAGCATCTGCCCACTCCTGATTCCACAGGGAATAGAAACACTAAGCATACTGCTCCAAAAGCAATTTTCATTCTATCATATCCTGCAATGACACCAGCATGGTGTGCACCCTCCCAAATGCACTCAGCTCAGCAGTTTAGCAAACACACTTGGAAGGGCTAACAAGAAGACAGGGTACCAACACTGACAAGCTGAATTTTAGAAAAGTTAAGAAGCAGGTTATAGAGAGAATATGAAATATTTCAAAGCACATATTTGTTGTACTGTCCTGTTATGCATCTGCCTAAGTTGTGCTAGTAGTCAGCAAATTTTCTCTGTAATTCTCTACTTCCATGAAACAGAACTTATTTCTGGTTAAAAATAATATATATACCTTAATGCTGTGTACATAATTCATACAGAATAGCAAAGTATTCAGTGCAGTGGGAAAGTGTCATCTTTCAAATGCTGCAAAACCCATAAACAGACAAAAGTTCCATCCAGTTGCTAAGTATTAAGAAATACACATAAAAAGGAGACTTCCTACCAAGATGGCAGAAAGCTCAAACAAAAGGAAGAAGGAAAGGACACTATTATATCCCCTTGTGTCCTGCTATTTTTTATTATTATGGAGTGCTCCACTTACAAAGGGTGTGCAATAAGAACATGCTTGTGTAGTAAGGTAGAGTCAACCAAAATCATCAGCAGAAAACCTAAGGAAAAAGATTTTTTTTCCAAGTGCTTTCAATATTTATACAAGTTCAGAAATTAACAAAATCAGAAATTAACATTGGTGAAGCCTTACCTCAAGAAAGACTTTGGCATTTGTGTTGTGTTTGTGTAGGGCATCGCTGGAAGCTCACAGACCTTCTGAAACCTACCATAGTGTAAATGTCTGCTTCAGTCATGTTCCAGTTCTCTGCAGAGGAAACTAAATCAAGGACTTGGCACTCTATGAAGCAAGGTATAGGATAATCACCAGGTGGAAACTCATCATAGTTGAGAATCTAAGACATCTTCCTTCTTTTCTAAGACATCTTTTATCCTGACCAGTCATGGGAGGACAGAGAAATATACATGGTCTAAATTGTCAACCAGTCAATACACCAAATAAAAAATTCAATGTCTTTTCCCCCTCATTTATTTCCCACAAGCCTCCTCTATAATCTCCTTTCCACACACCCCAGCTACGTGAAAACCACGGGCCTTCCCATGGCATTGGATTGACTGGGTTTTGTAATGGCTTCTAGTGTGAAAATCCTTCATAACATAAATATTTTTAGCCAGTACCCTTTCATACATCTGCTTATTTTCCTCATGTCAATTTAAATAGCAATTTAAATAAACTACTAATTAGTAATTTAAATAAAAGACATAATAAAACTGAAAAAAGTATTTCCTAGTAAGATGTATAAAAGCTGATAGGAACATGCAATTCATGTATCATGATAATTTTCTATTACATTTTGTATGTGGTCATTTCAGACATGCTAGAAACAGAGGAATTATCCAATACATAATTTTGGCAAATATATTTACAAATATATTCCAGAGATGCTGTCAGAAGTTGATACTAAGAATAAAAGTTATCAGTTTAAAAAAGACAGTAGATACTAATCCTTGTGGTGGAAAAGCTATTTTAAAATGTGAACTTAACCACATCCTCTTTAGTATGTACTTATCAACATTCAATACTCTCTTCCTGAATCTATACAAAGTCTCAGACAACAGCTCAGAAAAGCATATAAATATACATTTCATATTAAAAAAAAGGTTTCCTTTGAAAATCAGCTATAATAATTAGCATTAATACTCAATGAGTATGTCCATGTTTGGGCCTGGAACACGTCTGTGCTCTCTCAGAGCTGCCAGACACTGCAAAGGTTTCAGGAGGCCCACCATCTCTTTGGAACAACAAAGAGCAGGAACTAATAACCCAAGGCCTTAGACTTAATGGGAAATGAAAGGGAAAGGGACAAGGAAGGCACACTGAGAACTTCTTTCAAGTCTAGCATCTCATAACTGTAACCCAGCTCCAATGCTTTCCAGGGTGGCAGTCCCTCTCCCACACCTGCTCAGCCAGCCTCCTCATACCTCCAAAACAGAGTCCATCCTGTCCAGTGCACCTGCAGAACACTTAGTCTGAGTGCATCTGAGCACAGCACAAAACTGCTTACTTTCCAGCAGTCAACATGAGGAACAAACAACACAAGGAATAAATGGCTTCCAAGCTTTGTGGTTTTCATAGTAACAGCTTAATTTCTCAGCTTACCTGTAGCTGCCACATAGCTTGGAGTTTACTGCAGATCCAAAGCTGTCTTGCCATTTTCATCACAGAAGTAACAGGTAGGAGTGTTGTTCTCTTCTTTCTGGGAAGTAAATGAAGGACACAGGTGGTTTGTGAGTATTTATTTCACCCACATTCCACTAATTTAACTAATGACCAAGGGAAGGAAGCAGGAAAAAGAGAAACAGAGCCAGTTTTAACTCAGCTTAGTGATCTCCAAGCCATCTGTCCACACCTTTGCATGTACAACAGCCATTTAAAGTCTGCCATGCTGACAATAAGTGGCGGCTGAATCAACAGTCTATGCCTCTACATGGGCAAATTCTCAAAGAACTGGCCTGCTAATCCCAAATAGTTTGTTGCACTGCTGAAACACCTGATGCTTGTGACTATAATGACATAGAACACACCTGATCTAATTGGGATTCAGTCTTGGTAATAGGCCTTTATCATCAGCACAGCAGGACATAATAAAGCCTCCACAATTAAGTGAGCAACAAAACTATTTTCCTGCTTTTCTTTCTTTTAATAGTTTCTTTATGATGGCATAAGCACTGAAATTGGTGCTATTAACATTTATTATACATGGTTTGGTTAAAGTTTAGAATTTTTCTGTGCTAGAAGCAACAAGCTTTGTTCACTGAGGCTCCTATTTGGCTGCCACAGGCTGCAAAGCAGAGAGAGAGCCCAGGGGTTTGTAAAGCCCAGCACTGTCTGCTCCAAGGCAGGTGCTCACTGCTCAGGAATCTCTCCAGAGAGTACCATGGTGTTTCCAAAGCAGAATTACCACCTATTTTACCTATATGCAAGTCTGGGGGTCCTTTTGCCCCCCTTCTTTCATCCAAACTCCCAGTTTGTGCTATTCTATTTCTGTTCAACCCCACAGGCTCCTCAGCGAGGCCCCTGCAAAGAGAAGCCTAGGGAGGGGGACTGCAAGTTCAGCCTCATCTCACAACTTGCCTGACACATGTGCAAGGACCAGCACCTCTCCAGGGCTGGGAAAAAGGTTAAGGGAAGGAATTTAGGTCTTCTTGAGACTTTAAAGTAAACACTTCCAGAAAGGGATGCAGGGGAGGGTCACAAATCTACTCTGGCCAGCCTGTGCAGCCATGTGCACAAAGCAAAAGCTGCCCAGCTGCACCCACGCCACGCTCCAAGCCATGATGTCAGCCCACAGACACCCACGGCCCTTGGGCCATCGCCTCAGCCCACAGACACCCACAGCCCTTGGGCCATCGCCTCAGCCCAGAGACACCCATGGCCCTCCCGCCATTGCCTCAGGCCAGAGACACCCACAGCCCTTGGGCCATCACCTCAGCTCAGAGACACCCACAGCCCTCCTGCCACTGCCTCAGCCCACAGACACCCACGGCCCTCCCGCCATCACCTCAGCCCACAGACACCCACAGCCCTCCTGCCATTGCCTCATCCCAGAGACACCCACAGCCCACTCACCATCGCCTCAGGCCAGAGACACCCACAGCCCTTGGGCCATCACCTCAGCCCACAGACACCCACAGCCCCTCTGACAATCGCCTCAGCCCACAGACACCCACAGCCCTCCTGCCATCGCCTCAGCCCACAGACACTCACAGCCCTCCCGCCATCACCTCAGCCCACAGACACCCACAGCCCACTCACCATCGCCTCAGCCCAGAGACACCCACAGCCCCTCTGACAATCGCCTCAGCCCATAGACACCCACAGCCCACTCACCATCGCCTCAGCCCAGAGACACCCACAGCCCCTCTGACAATCGCCTCAGCCCAGAGACACCCACAGCCCACTCACCATCGCCTCAGCCCACAGACACCCACGGCCCTTGGGCCATCGCCTCAGCCCACAGACACTCATGGCCCTCCTGCCATCACCTCAGCCCAGAGACACCCACAGCCCTCCTGCCATCACCTCAGCCCACAGACACCCACAGCCCACTCACCATCGCCTCAGCCCACAGACACCCACAGCCCACTCACCATCACCTCAGCACAGAGACACCCACAGCCCTCCTGCCATCGCCTCAGGCCAGAGACACCCACAGCCCTTGGGCCATCGCCTCAGGCCAGAGACACCCACAGCCCTCCTGCCACTGCCTCAGCCCACAGACACACACAGCCCCTCTGACCATCGCCTCAGCCCAGAGACACCCACAGCCCCTCTGACAATCGCCTCAGCCCACAGACACCCACAGCCCTCTGGCCACCGCCTCAGCCCAGAGACACTCATGGCCCTCCTGCCATCGCCTCAGCCCAGAGACACCCACAGCCCCTCTGACCATCGCCTCAGCCCACAGACACTCACAGCCCCTCTGACAATCGCCTCAGCCCACAGACACCCACAGCCCCTCTGACAATCGCCTCAGCCCACAGACACCCACAGCCCCTCTGACAATCGCCTCAGCCCAGAGACACTCACAGCCCTCTGGCCACCGCCTCAGCCCCTCAGGACAGGAATGGCCTCCCCAGAGCCCTCTATACCAGCAGCCTCACCTGCTGGGGCAGCCCAGACTGCCATGTGAGAGAGCAGGAAAGGTAATTATACCTATGGCTGTGGGGCAGGAGGCCCATTGCCTGCCCACTATGGGACTGCCCGTGTCCAGGCCACTGGAACCTGTGAAGTCAGAGAATTCCCACCTATGTAGAAATTATCTTCTCTGTGAGTGCCTGAGGGAGCAAAACAGTCCATGAGGTTACTGGACAAGAGCAACTCTGCCCAGATACACAGGCGATCCTGCTAGAAGCATCTCAACTCCAACTGGACACTAACAGCAATTTAAAAAAAAAAAAAAAAAGTATAAAAATGGTAACTGAAAAAGCATGGAAAGCTGCTCTCCAGCTGGTGGGCTCCTCCTGGCTGCATAAGCAGTTAGGAGACCTCAGGAGAAAAACCAATGCTGCAGGAAACAGTGGCAAGAAAGGGGAATTGAAAGCCTTGAAGGAGCACTGAGAAGCCACCTTCTCCACAGCTGCTCCCTGTCTGCTCCCTGGGGCCAAAACCACCCAGGCAGGGCAACTGGTGGCGGACAGGGGTTGTGTGCACAGGGACAGGTGAGGACATTGGATCGAGCAGGGAACCAGGGCACCTCCCCCTGTCCAAGGCCCTGTGGGATGCTCAGTCCATGCCTACATCAAATCCTCCCTGCTGGCACTGAGTCATCCCTCAGAGCATCTTCTCTTCAGGCTATCCAAGGCAATGGCCAGTTTTTCTTACTCACATTCCCATCCCTAAATACATTTTCACCATGGAGACCATCACCCTCATTCATCTCCCATCCCAGGAGACACAACTTTGTGGGACTCCAACTCCTGCTTGTTAGCTCAAGCCAAAAGGAATAACTATCAACTAAGAATAAATACTAATTAACCTGAATCTTTCATCATATCGTGATCTGAACCAGATGCTACCTCTAACTTTAGAGGTTTCTTCTCAAAGCAGCCTATCTGCAGCAGGCAAAAATAAGATTCCTTCTTTTGATAAACTTAATTGTGGGCCTCAACAAGACACATTTCTTGGCAATACTGTGCTCATATCTTTAAATGCTGTGAACTCACAAGAGTTTGAAAGGTCTTACATTTTGAATGCCTCCCATATGAGTTTTGTGATTGAGAATTCAGTCCAGGAAACTTCCTATGTTGTGCTGGAAAAAGAGGTGCAGTGGAGACAGCTTTAACACTGTACACAAGCACTGAATAGAAGTGTTCTCAGAACCCTCAGCCAAAGGCTGCACAAGAGCACAGCTGAGATTTAGCCCCTCAATGCAGGGAACAGTGGGGTGAAAGCTATATGGTATCTTCTGTTGAGCTGGTTGAAATCAATAATGCTTTATATTGGTTTTAGTATCAGAGAAAGAATAATAGAGCAGGGTTAAATCCAAAGATTTATCTGCCAGAGTGTATCAACATTTTCAAAGCTGCTTGACTTTTTTCATTTGTTGGAAGTAGCTCCAATGTTTTCTAAACTACTGAAAACCAATGTTAAAAATCCCTGTAACAGAACTGCATTTTTCATTACGACTGTTGGTACTTATGCAGACAACATACAGAGAGAGAGGAAATGATACAAACCAGACTTACTGTAAAAGCCAAAACCTTTCATAAATGCAGCTGTGTTCCCTTGCAGAAAAATAGGTTATTTGGGGGAAAATATTTTTGGACTTTAAAAAACAGTGACAGGGATACCAAATAACTCTTGGCAAGAGCTGTGCAAAGCTGAATGCTGCCCAGTTCCACCTCTCAGGCACCTTCTGTGCAACAGTCGATACTGGTAACTAGGATTAGCAATTTAATCTTCACACCACTTCAGCGTGGACATGTAAGTTTCAACAAGCTTGCAGATGAAGTCATAAAATCAAACCTCTACCATTTTAAAGTTGCATAAACAGTGTTTAAGTGGTTTAATAGTGGGGTTTGTTTGCACAGCATGAATGCCATTGTATATAGCAGCTCAGCAAGTCCAAAGATGTGTCCAGCAGTGCCAACTCCCCAGATGCTGGCACACCGTCCCATCCAGACTCTCTGCTGCAGATCACCAAGGGCCTCTTGGTCTGTAAGACATGCATCTCACTTGTGAGGCCAGACACTCCCCAACCCCTTGTTATGTGGCACAAGGAACTGCTTCTGTGTCCTCTGAAATAGACCTTGCTAAAGCCCCCAAATCTGTGCTAAAGGAACAAATGGCAGCTCCATCCTCCAGGAGAGCTGAAATAGGTAAAACCACTGAGAATGAAGTACTGCTCTACCTTCTTCATGAGTCCAGTCACCACCTACCTCCTCTCTGTGTCTTGCAAGTGGCTGTTTCTTATGGTAGTAAGTCACAAGTGAGCAGTGAGAATCACTGGAAATAACCAGAAGGTACCTGATTCTTACCAAAACTGATGGGAATTACATAACCAGTGGTTTTTTGGGAACTCTGTCAAATTTAATGCCAAAATTGCTCTGAAGTCTTCTATTTAGGGTACTGGCTGACTGTAAATCTCTAAAGGTACATAGTCAAGTGGAAACACCAGCCAGAGTTTCAGCCATCTGAACAGTCCCAGGTGCCCAGGTGTATTTTAGGTACTGAAAACAAGCTTTAAAACTTGTTTTAAGACTCCTTTCCTTGAAATGAAGGTTCATAATCTTTGATGAGTCCCATAACCAAATCTGCCATCATAACAAATGCACAGGCATCTCCTTTCCTGGATGTGGGTGGTTTGGATGCCTGCACTGGTTATAAGCAGCAATGTACTAAGGGAGTACAAAACCATGAAATTTAGGAAGATGAGTAATGTATGAAGTGTGGAGGCAGTGAGAGATGATCCTCATATTATGTGATTTTATTTAATAATGTATAAATAAGTATCAGCTTTCCCCAAACTGCCCCTCAGCCTAGCAATTACATGTTGGCTGATTTCTGGTTAGAGCTGTTCTTTTATAATAACAAACTGTTCCCAAAGCCTCACATACAGAGAATTAGACAATCAAAGTACTGTGTACGATTTTCCACTTAATTCATTCAGTTAGTTGCAATTAAAACAATACAATTCAAGGCCTTGTGTATTTCACTGAAAAATACAAAACTTTACTTGTTACTATTAATATATACAACCTACAAGAAAGTGTAAACAAAGCCCCTTTGTTTTCATTGTTGTAGTAGAGTAATTTTCTTATCTTTTTCTGTAGATGCCCTGGCAGTCATCAATATTTCTTTCAGTTGCTGCTCTTCAAAAGACTCACACTTTTCATTCAGCTGCACAGAAAAAAAAAAAGGAATCCAGTGGGACAAATTCCCTTGGTGAGCAGATCAACTGTAGCTGCCTGGGGAGGAATCTAGGTGAACGTGCAGGGCTTGTGCAAAGGAGATGATCAAACCTATTTAGAAGGGAAGAGAGTAATCAAATTTCTGTTAGATTTTATCTAGATATTTTACCAAAATATTTCATATTTCTGGAAAAGCAGTGTTTCATGGTTACCAATCTCTGTTCACCCCCTTCATACAAACAACATGCCAAGTTTTAGAATGACTATGGAACCTTTCCTTTTTTTGTTTTATGGATCTTCACTAATGAAACCTAATGACAATCTAGTCAATATTATACCAGATTTGTGAGTGCAAAAGAGAACAGAAGCTGTACCTGGCTCAACAAGAAAGTGATAAGCCCCCCTATTAGAGCTGCTGCGACTGTCTCCCATACCACCAAGCTCCCCCAAAACTGGGCACTATTTCCACCAGTCATGAACACAGAGTGTGCAATGCTCAGAGAGCAGCAACATCTCTGCCTTCTAAGAATGCACTGTGTCTGTCCAAGTCTCACGATGTTTCCAGACCTTCTGTGAACAAGATATATCTTCACACTATTCTTGGTAGAAGGCTATCCTCCTGATGTGCTGGTCTTGGGTATGTTAATTCAGTAATTCAGCAGTGGTTCTTGACAGAGGCTTGATTCAGCCTACTCCTGCAACAGAATAACAAAGCACTGATTTGGATCTTGTACTCTTAATTATTATTCCACCAACATAAATGAGCATTTCACTTAAGCTCAGTTCCTCAAGAAAGAACTATTGTCTGCTTTGATAAGATGGTATGAAATTTATCCAAACATTTATCGAACTATGTGAAATCTTATTTGCAGAATATGTTCTGAGATTTTGTGAATAAAGTCCCTCAGGATAAAGTAACCCCAAAATACATGTCAGAGCAGAGACTCCCAATATCTGGTCCAAAGGGAACTCACAGCTCATCTAGTGCTCACTTTTATTCTTTTCTTCCAGTACACAACAGCATAAAAAGGCCAGGATGAAATAAAGAACCAAAATCAGCATTTCTTTTCCAGAAAGGCAGACCTCTGCCAATCCCAGTTCCAAGAAACACTGTCCAGTATTTTCCTTCCTTTCAGTTACTGTCATTCTACAAAGATGTGACAAAGTGATGAATGACAAGGAAGGCAATTCAGCAAACAAGGTACCTATTTCAAAGTTATTTTTATTAAAATAAATGCTAATATCATACTCATGGCATATGATTTTATGCTTGAAGAATCCTGCAATTTGCATACAATCTGGGTGAAAGAAATTTAGTTGAAAGACCACATCTCCAACTACTAATGAATGTTCCCAGAAAGTCTAACAAAAGAAAAAAAAAACCAACCACCTCTGCTTGGCACGTTTTTTTTCCAAATGTGCTTTCTTAGCTTAGGTTGCTTTCATAGAGATAACACTGGCAGAGAGTAACTGTACTTGTTTTGTAATAAACATACTTTTGATACGGCATTTCAGGGCAACTGGATTATTAAAAAAAATTTATAAAGCTAAAGTTATCATCAGTGTATATCAAGGATCATGTTATTACAATAAACTATATAAAGTAAGACACTGTCCATGAAATCAAGGAGATATTTAATATCACTTTAATATGTTGACATTATCAACCAACCTATAAATACCAGTAACATTTTCATTATCATCTACATTTAAGCTTCTTTAAGCTTTCAAGTACCTTTATGTTCAATACCCAAAACCATTCAATTCAATTCCAGCAAGTAACTCCAAAAATCACATCAAGGAAGTTCTTTATTGGTTTCTCTCAATGACTTCCAGATTAAATCTGCTCTTCTATAATCACAGAAAAGTCTTCCTGTGAATATCTCATCTAAAAACACATGGTTGAAGTTAGGTATTTTCAGTGCTGCAACAAAGGACCCTGCAACTAGAAAATAGTTAATAACTCTCCTGATGATTCACATATTGAAATCAGTGCTGACTCTTAGTATCAGAAGAATGAAACCATATTTAAGAACTAAAATAAGATTGTGGAGCACACAAAAGGAATAGGTTTGGATCTCAAAGTATCTACCTTTTACCTACTCACCTTTCAGACACTTGGGCTTCATTAAACTCCCAAGTACCACTGCAAGAATGTGCACTAGCAGTGCAGTGGGTGCATAAATGCCAGAATGCCAAGGTAGGGAAGAAGCAGACATAAATCTGCTCACAGTAGTGTTCCAGATTGGTGCTAAAATAAGAGTTATGAGTTACATTCATTTCAAGTAAATATAAGATTATCTATACTCAGTTCAGGCCTTCTTTAGTCATCATCTACTTGGGAAGAAATTATAGCTTTATAGAACAGCATTCATTTTTCTCAGTGACAGAAAGCAAAAGTGAACAAACTCTTGCCCTTCTCCAGTTCAGGCCAAGGAGAGATCCATGAACAAAGCCCTAAGGGTGACATCTACCCAGCATAACACAGCTGCACTTACCCATTCTGTAAGCTCCCAGATCAAAAGCAGTTGGCTCAAGCCTCTAGAAAAAGAAAGATTTCACATCAAAATATTCTTCCAAATAGAAGTTGAGTACACAAACTTACCACCTTTCCTTGTAACAAAAGCTTTCATTCATGTTAGCTAGAAGACAAGACCTTTACTACACCAGACAACAAGGGAAAGTTATAGTGCCCTTTCAGACCCATTCATCTTGAATAGTTTCAGTTATGAATGGACAAGTATTCTTCACACCTCCTAGAACACCGAAACAAAGAAGAGCAAACCAAATCCTGGAGTCCTCCAGAAACTTAGAATTTCCACCTAGCTTTCTATTCAGATATTTCTACCCTTGATTATTGATACTAAACTGTAGCATTAAAGTCCCTGGATGGGCAAGGATAGGTTGGATTCAAATCTACACAGGGACCCTCAGCGAATGTCATTCAGCCCGAAATGCAGGTGTATCATTGGCCAGAGAGCTGGATAGTGCTGAGACCTCAACAAATCACATGTGCAGCCTAGGGAAATTTGAGCTTCTATAAAAGGAGCTATGGGAATAAACTCGGGACTGTTCGTCACAAGGACCACTGACTGTGTGTCATCTCTGTCTCCGACCCACACCCCTCCACATTACACTAAACAAATCCATGGATGCACTGAATAGCGACAAATCAGCAGCAGCTAATAAAATTAAACTAAGCTAGACATCATTGCTATATTGAACAAAACAGATTCTTCCCTCCACCAATAATGACTAGAGCAGACAGAAGTGCAAGAGCTGTGGTGATGACAGACTTTCATCAGGAAAGGCAAATGGGCAGGCCTTGGCCAACTGTGTAAATTCTGTGGTTTGGTCCTGGAGGTTGTGGCTTCAGCCCCAGGTCCCAATTCCTTACCACAAACCACTAGAGATCTCTGTGAGTAAATGCAGGACCAGCTCCTTCTCAGCGAGGCACCATCAGATTTAAGTATCATCCATGCAAAAGGCCTGCAGCTGAAGCATCCTGCCATGGGCATGGCTACACAGCACAGCTGTGGGCATGACACAGCTGAGACCCTTTCAGCTTGACAACAGAAGAAAATGTCCTGAGCACCTTCTATCCCTGCAGGCTGCCTCCCTTCTTGGACAGCCCCTTGGGAACACAGCTGTTTTCTCTGCATCAGACACAGAGGACCACAGATTAACTAATGCTGCCTGTATCCCAGGAATATCTGGGACCTTAATCACAGTCCTTGGCCATGCTCCACTAGGCATTTTCCATACGTTAGGCAAAAGGCAGGCTCTGTATGTCAGGGCTCCTCCAAGAAAGGGCTGTCCACCTGCAGAGCAGCAGCTTTTGAACCACTCCAGAATCTAAGTTGCTATTCCCAATATGCAAACATAGTTAGCTCAGCCTGTCAGTCTTTCTGAACTCTGGCAATGAGGCAAACCTGCATGAGCACCAGTGGTCACAGCCATCCAGGCACTCCAGCTGACACAGGATATGGACAAAAGTCATGCCTGGGGCAGCCCTTGCTTTGCATTTTGGTGCAGATGTACACAGAGAAAGGAGTGAGGGCAGAGCTGAGACAGTGGGAAGCTCAGAGAGGAGGAGGGTATCTTACTTAAAGTCACTCTAAAGCACATTACAAATCTGTTAAATCATTGTGGCTTACCCTATATTTCAGAGTAAATTAGTAACTTTTCAGAAGGAGTGAAGAAACTACCACTCCACTTTTAAATAATGAAAATGCTAAAAAACCTACACTTAACAGCTCTAAAACTGCAGCAAGTCACCCACCAACACCCACTCCTCTTGTCAGCAGGCTTTTTTCAGCTTTGCCTATTATTTCTGTCAAGTCAGAGATGTCTAATATTTGCCATGCTTATCTGCTCAACTTTCAGGAGCCGCAAATGTTACAATATGTACCTGTGCCACTGACCTTTTTCCCCACAGCATTTTGATCTAAATAAGTAAAAACCACAGAGTTTCCAAAATCATTTGGATTCACTGCTCTGAGTGCATAGCTGTAAAAAATCTGCTTTAAGATTAACATCCAATTTTATTCATGCCTGAGGCTTCACCACAGCATCTATTTTTGTAAGATTAACAGCAAGATCCCAGTTCTCCAGAAATGTAAAGAGTAACAGACAATTGTAAAAGGAAGATGATGTTTCCTAACCTGCCCTGCTCACATTCAAGAAGGTACATTTTCCTAGCCCTTTCCATATTGGATGTAAATTTTTTTTTTGCATTTTTGGATCCACAATGTACACTATGTGTATTAATCTTTCCACCTCCCATTAGCTGGAATGAAAACTGTGGGTGCCAAAAAAACACTAACATAAATCTCATATGTGCAAAGCATCCCCTGAAAGACAGCTTTTATGCTGGATGAGTTAAGAAACAGCCATCTTCCAGTACCTTGTACAAGAGCAGTTTGAACCATCTCTAACTTGAAAATAAAAGTATACAAAATGAGCACTTAATTTTTTGGCTAATCCATTTGAAATGAGTATACATAAAAGCATTTCTTTTTGGACATAGCAACCTGAGGACAAATTGAGGGTCATTTTTAACCTAAACATCAGAGAAGATGTTGCTTTAAATAGTGCCTTGGTGTCTGTCAATTAAAGCTATTGCATTGCTGTCAACTTGCATTCCTGCTTTAGTTCCAGCTTTGCTCCATCCTACACAGATCTGTACAAATCAATTGTCTCTTGCAAACATGCACTAACCACTGGAAAGTGAAATTAATAAAGTGTGAGAAAATCTGATTCATAAAGCTGACACTCCTGTGCCCAACAACTCTTCATATGGGCACGCGAAGTGGTAAAAGATTATCAAATTTCAACTGTCATTCCTGACAAAATGCATCTCAATGCTGGAAGGAATTTTAGGTTTTAAGCTAAACCACCACCTCAAAGGATTCCTCAGAGCCTGTCAATATCTGTACTTTGGATGGAAAGCTACCACTGAGTGCAGTGTGCCCAACATACAGAACCTGCCACAAAATGAAGTTCTTCATAAGAAAGCTCATCTCAGTCTTGGTTGGTAACAATAACAAGGAGACAAGATGAGACCATCAGTCTCAATTGTGAAGACAATGTTTTCCTCCCATATTATTCTGTCTGTCATGTTCCCTTCAGGTTCCAAAGGAATCCCTGTCTCATATATCATTATTTCCCACAAAGCTTGAAAGCTCTCAGGGGGGGGTTTCTTCCTGCCCACTGTACCAGCCTTGAAGTCTGAGTACCTTCAGAACAGTGACAGAGGCCTCTGCCAGCAATAAAGGGGAACATCTGCATACCAATTAAACTGCTGAGTGCTGAAGAGTAAAAAAAAGAAGAAAAAAAAAAAAAAAAAAAAGAGGGGAAAAAGCCTTGAAAGTAAATCTGAGCCAAGTTCTAATTAATGCCCTAGGCCCCGATTCACCACAGCACTTAGGCATGTAGTTAACTTTAAGCATGTATTTAGTTCCATTGAAGTCAAAAGACAGCATCGAAGAGGCAAACTACATTAGCACAATTTAATACTCTTTGGGCTAATTAATCAACCATAAAAATTTACTATGAGATCTGTATTCCTTATTTCCCTCACTGTGACATTTCCAGATAAAAATACTTGGATGTGGCTGGAATAAGCAAGAAAAGCACTACCTGTTTGGCTGTCGTGGGGTGCTTGGTCCTACAGCTGTGAAGGCCAATTCCTAAGAACAGCTGTAGGAGCTAAGTTCTCTCCACATCACAGCCTACAGTCTGTATCTTCTTTGTGGCTGCAGCTCACAGACACAAAAAGCACAGCCCCTGTCCCAGGAGCAGCAGTTGAAGAAACAAAAAGAACTGGCAACAGATGAGCAAAGCCACCAGCCATCAGAAACATCTTTCCTTTTCTCTGTAAAGAGGCATTTGCTCACTGCAACCCATCAGTGTCAGCTGTGATTGGAGATGGCAAGGAAGGGCAGCAGACAGGGCTGGGTAAGCGAGGGAGGCTGAGAGCAGATGCAGGTTTGGTGAGAGCTGGTTCCCAAGGATGCACTGTCAGGCAGAGCTGGGGTGAGGGGAAGAGTGCTGGAGTCTAAAGGCTAAGCAGACTGGAGTATGGCCCAGCTCCAGTGTGGGCAAGGGCTAAACTCTCCTCAGTTTCAGTGCAGCAGAACTAAGCCCTGTAAAAAAGAAGCCCAGAGTGCAATCTCCACTTAACTGAATTGTCCCAGATATATCCAAATCATTTTATCCGTTTGGTAAGTCCAGCATGGAGAATGACTGCCAACATTGCACCTAAACATGATCTCCAGGGGGCAAATGGGACCAACATTTGAGTCCTGTTGACTTCAGAAAAGCATGTGTAACTACCAACCATTCTGTAAATCAGAATGCAAGGAGACAAGCTGGCTAATAAGTGTATTCTTGTTAGGGATTTCTGCAAAAATGAAGCCTCAGAAAGTATCATTAATGCTGTACATAGACCTATAAAAGCAAGAAAAATGAAAGCAGGGTAGTAAACGCCTGGTTGACAATACTTCTTTATCTCCATCATGAAAACAAAAAAGAACAAAAACAACCCTCCAAAAATTAGAACAACTTGAGAATAAAAGAAAGTACCAGCACAGCTTTTCAGATTAACTTTGAATTTCCTTGCTTTCATTGGTTTAAGAGCTCTATTGTTACTCACTTGTTTTTATTAATTGCAGATAGTAAAAATTCTTTTATCTTTCTAAGTCTTTAGAGCATGTTATATAATTACGTAATTAAGGCCTCTTTCAACTGGATATAATTTACTCTATAGTTTACAACAGCTGCACTAGAGCCATTACATTTTATAATTTAAAAGCCTAATTAGAGGCTTCTTAATTAGTGGATGCTTCAGTCACTAGGCTGTGATTGTGTAAAATACACTCAGCAGTTATTACATTTTATAAATTTACATGAAATGTTTGTGTGAAAGCAGGGTGTGTACAAGTTCAAAAACACAGTGCTTGTCCTTGCAGGTCAGCCCATCTGAGCATGCAGAGCTCCACACAACATCTCCACTCCCCTGTCTCAGAGCCCAGCTGCTC